TGATGATGATGATGATGATGATGATGATGATGATGATGATGATGATGGTGTGTTGAATTTCTTGAGCTTGTCCTGTTTGTTGACTACTGTAGTGTTGTGGCATACCATCCATTTCTCGTCTTTTCTATTGAAAAATCTCTCGTTGAGTCAAGTGGATTCGCACTCTCTCAAACACATATATTTCTATAGATGTGCTCAGTGTGCGAATTTAGATGTACTGTACCAAAAGGATGCATTTCGGCTCACATGTCGTTGTGGCCATTGGCAAACTTGAACGCTTTGCTTTTGTCGGGGCCATTGTGGGTATCGAAGCCTTTGAGGGTCGAGAGCTCATCAACGGCCGACCGTTGGGGGCTCACGAAAGAATCTATGGGAGTGGTGCGATCTAACAGCTGATTGGGTCACATCTCACATGCACCCGCTTGAACCCAGAAGAACAGTTCCCCTCCCAACTCCATGTTTTGAGGCGGAGGTTGCCATGCTTGTCTGCGAGAGTGGTGGGCATTAGCTGTGCAATGACCATGGTGGCTGCGTGGTGCTTTGTGCTTTGGTTCAGCAGGGTAGGCCATTTGCATCGCATGTAGAAGAACATGCAGCAATTTCTGGACGCATTTACCCAGTTTTGCTGCTGATTCTATCTATTATGTGGGGCCCAGTCTCCCATGAACGGATATACCTGACTCAGCTGCAGATGCAAGGTCTCACCCAGCCAGACGCCGGAAGGCCGCAGAGCTGTGGTACCTGGCCGCAGGGCCGAGGCTACCCTGAAGAATGTGGAGACAGGCTGCGGTTGGGTGAGACGAACGCTTGCCCACCGACCACCACCAGATAATGGTCAGATTTTGACCATGTAAAATCTCACTAGGATTAGCCAGGATTCCACCATATTCTACTCCCAATTCTACTCCCCAATTCTTTTTCCGGAAGTTCACTTCACTTAGAATCCCCATTTCCGCAGCTCCAGTGCAGGCGCCCTGGGCAGCGGCGGAAGCGGTGCGCTGCCGCGCTTCGAGCCGCGAGAAGTGGGCAGTGCCGAGCAGCTCATGCTCAGCAGAATGCCGGAGGGGCACCTGAGACTGGTCTGTTGAATTTTGATGAATGCTGTGATGCTTGATTTGGACGACGTGGAGGAAGATGATGCTTTGGCTGTCCCTCGCTTTGCTGAGGCACTTGATCACTACCCATACCTCATTGGCACTTCTTCAGGGTCGGCCTGGACGGTGTGGGAGTTTCTACTGCTGGGGAGTCAATATTGAGAACTGCCTGGTCAAGTGTTGAAGTTGCATGGGTCTCATGTTGTAGTATGTTGTAGTCAGTTGTATTCCGTACATAGTCAGTGCTCTGGACGGTGTCAATGAATCATAGAAGACATGCATGATTCATGATGCAGATGCCATGGCTTGTGGAGGGCCACATGATACCACGTGTTTCGGCATGGGGATCCTGTTCATCTATGCTCTTGATTTTTGATGACGAGGCGTTGCAGATGGGAAGAAGTTGGAAAAGGCCAGCTGGATGGTTGGAGCTGGAAGAAATACTTTATGATGTTTAAATATATAGCAACAAACTGTGGAAGCGTCAGATTCCCGCTGCTGGATGCTTCATCATGCTAACTTGGAGGTGTTGCACATGTCCTTGACGCCTTAGTATTTTGTTGCGTTCCCCAAGTGCGAAGAGGCACCTGACACCTGACACCTGGAGATGGAAATAGCTTGAGGGGACCCAGCCCCGAAGGTTTCCACCACGCTGAAGGCATCCTGACACTACTATAGCCAGAGTGTGCTAAGACCATTGGTACTGGTAGGATGCCAAGGCTACTGGCTTGACACGCTTTTTGCAAATCTTTAAACCATTTTGGCCGACCCTCCCGATACCCAAATCTTCATTTTGTAGCGCTTGCTGAAGACCGAAGGTCCCTTGTACCTTCTTATTCCACTGGCCCGCCACCAAAAGCTCTGAAATTGGGTGGTAAGTCAATGGAGAGGACAGGGTGTTCCCAAACAATGTGTTGTTCGTCTTGGGCCGCGAGGTGCAGCCCGTAGGAATGGGCGCAAATGGCTGCAAAGTGCACGCAATTTGAAAACGTGGCGAACCACCAACCAAGTGACGAGTTTTTTAAGCATATTTGTGGTATCCCGTGCTACACCCAGAGGGTACGAATCTTGTGTGGCTGTATTGTCTCCAGTGTGGAGGCACGGCCAAAAATGGGTTGGATGTGCAAGGGTTCCATGTGCCTTTGTGCGATTGTAGCAATTGTAGCGTTTGTTACTGTTACTTTGAATGCGCGCACTTTGTGAAATCAGTTGTTGTTTTGTAGCGGAGGAGGCTTCAGGTATAGGCATAAAGTCACTATTTCGGCATTTGAGCCATTTGAGCCAGGAGTTTTGACTTGGGAGTAAATACAGAAAGTTGGAACAGCAAAAGTAGCCTTGTTCTTGTGCTGTGTCCCTAGGCATTGCATTGGGCCGTCATCCGGCACCCCATGCTGCGGGCGGCCGCAGTGGAGCCCACGGTACGGGCGAAGGATACAGGTGGGGAGCGGATGATTTGATGGAACCATGAGCAAGGACGCTACTAGGGGCTCCTGGCCTTACTAACAATAAAGCTATAATAAGCTATATATGTTTTGTTCTTTTTCCTTATGCTGTAGTGGGTCCCACACGCTCCTCATCCATTGCGGGGCTGTTCATGACACCTGGGACCCCGGCGAGCTGGCTGGACAAGCTTCAGCTGGTTTGGAGTTGCAAAGTGGGCCGCACTCAAAACCATTTCCCTTCAAACTTGGATGGGTATGTGAGTGTTATGGCAAGCAGATGTAAATGTGTTGAGATATGTAGAGTTGGTGCCGTGCGGCGTTTCTGAATAAATGTTGCCCTTGATTTGGAATAACATTATCATCCAAGGATCTGAAAACGGTCAGAGCATCCGCCAAGACCGGCAGGATGAATGGTGTCCGTTGGGGCGGGTGTCCGACCTCGAACAACAACGAACCGACCGGGGAAATGTGTGGGACCGACCTTGGGCAACCGAAACCGAGCCGTTGCGAAGCCGAAATCAGCCAAGAAGCCTAGCGGAGAAGCCCACTCCGTGGCGGCGTTGGCGTCCGCCTGCAGGTCCTTTCTTTCATGGGGGGCAAGATGGAAGGCCAGGAAGGAGTTTGATGGATTTGGATAATTTGGGATACCCAGGATGAGTGAGTACGAAGGTTTGTCAAGAAGCTTGAACGACCATTTGGTGTTCATCTATATTGTGGTGGCTTTTGTCAAGTAAAGACTTGCAGTGTCAAACGGTAACTGCTGTAGGTACTGGGAGAGTTTGTGGAATCAGGCTAAGTGTGTACAGCTCTACTGCGTGGTGGTGTTTACGACTTTGGAGTAGCGGCTTGGCACCTGCCAATAGGCACCGATTAAGGGACCTCCAGCGGGACTTGCAGGTGGATGTGGGCACCCACCAACCTCACCAAGGAGGAGATCGTTCAGCGGGCACTCTCTGTGGAAGATGTCCCTCTGGCCTTGTTAATCCGAGTGGAGCGGCGAGTAGCGGTGCGAACAACACGATGAGTTTTGCCTCCCTCTTGTGTAGCTTTCATTTCTTGTGCCAACAGTTGCTTGACAGCTTGACAGGCCTGGGCATCTCCCAGAGATCACCGTTGCTGGGTCCCAGCCAGACATGTCTATGACCCTTAAAGCCGCCTTGGCTCCAGCCTTGTACAGATTCCGCACGCGCGCAGAAAGCCGCCGTGCAGTGGGCACCAGTGGGCATCAATGGCGTCGCGCGGAAAACACCCACGATCCATGGAGGAGTGGCTCCAGGCAGTGCCGGATTTGGTTTCCTTCGACTCCGAATCCTGGGCATTGGCTGTGGCCAGCCCCAGGGCTTACCTGCTCCACCGGCCATGCCAATGGGGCGGGACCCTCGTGAAGTTTGTGCTGAAGCGCATCAAAATCCAGGGAGCTCCAGAGAAGACGGGAAAGGTGGGGACCAGTTCAAAAGACTTATAAGGACTTATATAATGTAATTTCGCAATTATGATGTTTGATATTTTCTGAATATTATGCACACCACTTTCCCTCATGATCTGATCTGACATGAAATTACTCACAAGTTACTGTAGTTTATCTTCCATTGTTTTTTAAAAAGATGCATTGTTACTTTCTTCCAAACATCCCGCAGGTGATCGTGAGGCCGGAAGTCCGAGCAGCCATGCGAGACCAAATTTGTCCAGGTTTCCGTGGGACGACCATCAAATCCTATGAGTTCATTTCACCAGGTGAAGCCATTCTGGAAAGTCAAACTGATTCCTTGATGGTGCGCATGTGTTCCTTGGCTGAAGGACCTTTTCTTGAGTGTTTTTGCCAGATCCATTTCCAAAGAAGAAGTGAAGGCATGGCAAAAATAGAGCACTCTCAACAGAGGTTGACATAGAGCTGCCCCTACAAATAATGTAGCCTTGCCTTGCCTGAAGTGATTGCCAACGCGGTCACACAAAGGCAATACATATTTTTGCATGTCCTAAAAGTACTGAGCTGTCCCAAAGATGCCCCGTCAATTGAATTTGGCAACACGTTTATCGATCGAAGTCCGCCCTTCATGTGTTTATAGATGTGTGCGTGTGCATGGTGCATAGATACTTCCCTCCCTTAGGTCCTTGATCTTCCCACATGAACGATCCCACGGTCCCACCTTCAGCCAGCTAGGCTCAGTCCTTTTCGCAGAGCACTCTGAAGGATTGAGCCAATTCTTCGACCCACAGCAGGCAGTTGCACTTCATCAACGGATCCGGCGAGATTACCCGCTGGAGGGAGATTCCGCACTGGTCTGTTGGGAGGAAAGTGGAGCGCAAGAGGGGTTCCTCCTCATCCGGCCGGATAGTGAGATGCAGGGTTATTTCACTGTGATCTTCCTCATGCGAATTCCACAGGAGAAGTTTGCCACCTGGGCAATTTTTCAGTTTCGTCTTTTGATGGAAGGGGCTCACCACTCGGTGCAGTACCTCTTCAATCGCCCCAGCATTCAGCGGCTCAGAGAGATTGATGAGAACTTCTATGTGACACTTGGAATTCGGAGCTTCAAGCGGGGACCACCCATGGTGCCTGTAGTCCAGAAGCATGAAACCAGCGCAGATCAAACGGATGCGATGGTGACCATCCATGCTGGGGAGCGCTTAGGTTTGAACCTCTGGAGATGCTACAAGTCCAAAAGGGAGAAGCGCGGCAAGTGCAGATTTTTCATGTCAGAATACTTACAGATTCTCGTGAACGCCATGGGTGAGGAGATTGATGCTTTTGAGACTCTTGACGGGCTTGACGTTGTGTCCTATCAATGTGTGGTTCGACGCAGTGATTGGGCGCGCCTGAGGACGCGCTTCTTCGATCTCTACCGCTTGGCGAAGGCAGCTTACCGCCGAGCGAATGGTGGCACCTATGCCCCAAGCATACTGGAAGAAGCGGAGACAAAGTTCAACATTCAGGTGCCAGAATGCTGCAAGAATCATGTAAGCACAACTTCGATCTTAGATTGGGAGAAATAGGTATATAAATAGATATATAAGAATGCAAAGCCCCTTAAACACCGGCCTGGATGAACTCCATCTAAAAGCCTCGACAACCGTACAGGATATTGATTGATATAGACATGATATAGGTTCCAATATGTTCAACTGCATGGCATGCAACATGTCATATCATATACAATTTTTTTTCCATCCTTGGGCGTCCTTCAGGAGAACCAGGCAGCACCGCCTGCTCAAGCCTCACAGGAGATGCCTAGGTGGATCCTCCGCAAGACCTTTCTGGACATCGAGGATGGAACCGACTATTTGGATGATGTGCCCAAGCGACGCGCGCGAAGTGCAGGCCTTCTTCCACTTGTCCAATGGGCATAGACTTGTAGCATCTTCAGAAGGGCATGGACCGCGGCTTGCTGGCTTTGGCGTGTTTTGTGCGGGCAGTTAGCCAGGCGGCTACAGAATAAATACTTTGAATGCATTTCTTGTACAGCCTCACCATCAATATGGACGGTCTGTGACCGATCGGAATTGGTGGATAGTTGAGGGATGTCAAAAAAGGGCCCACTCAGCATGGAACTCAATGAGCGGATAATGTATGTAGAGCTTCGCAAACTGGCGATGCCATAAGTAGGGTTGTTTTCGCTGTTCCTATTGTTGTTGGTCACTGGCCTTGTTGCCTTGCGCGGCGCGTGCACGCGCCAAATAGAGACCCTTTTTTTTACTGTAAATATCAATGTGTTTTTTCCTCCACCTGCCAGGTGAGGGGTGTAGATGTTCGTAGATCTTATTATCAGAGTTCTCCTCGTCTTCTCCTTTTCTCCTCTCCTCTCCTCGTTTTCTTGACTACCGCACCTCAACAGCCAGCTCCAGATCGCAATGGGCTATACCTCAACTGCACGTGCATGATCGCAGTGGGCACTACCGGACCTCAACAGCAAGCGCCAGATCGCAGTGGGCACTGCCGGACCACAACAGCCAGCGCCAGATCGCAGTGGGCACCCCCCACCTCAACAGCAAGGGCCAGATCGCATGCCAGGCAGAGTATCAGAATACATACCGGAGAGAAGGCCAGAATCCATGCCAGATAGAATGTCACAATGTACGCCAGACAGAACCCCAGAGTATCTGCCAAGTAGAATGCCAGAGTATATGCCGTGCCAGCACTGTGGTGCCAGATAAAATACGAGCACTTATGGTAGATAGAATGGCAGCAGCTTTGCCAGATAGAATGCCAGGAGGTTTTTGATGGCAGAACAAATGCCGGAGTACACGTCAGAGTGCATACCGGGACTGAAGTTGGTCCATATGTCACAGCACATATCAGACAGGAAAAGTTTCAGAACACACGCCAGCAAAGATGCCAGAACACAGCCCAGAAGGTTACCCAGCCTTTATGATAGATGATGTGTCAGAACACAAATCAGATTTGATGCCAGAACAAGTGTCAGAACATCGGGTCAATCCGCACCGATCGCCTTTCAGGCTAAAATCGAAGTAAAGTAATTTTGGCCGTGGAATGGGGTAACCACGTGTTTTTTCAACCGTGTTTCTCATATGCTTGCTGTCACCCAACAGTGATATGCTCACTCAACAATGGCAAATAAAACAAAGTAATACTGTCCACCTATTAAAAAACATGCCGGCCACGCCCCCCTATTATATAAGAGAAACTCGGTCGCATCTTTTTAAATAGGGGGTCCCTGAAATTGGGGGGGGTCCAAAATTAGTGTCACCTGGGAAAAGCTTCAAAACCAAAAAGTCATCAAGAAAAGATTCTATAAAATCCTTTATTAAACTCGTATCGGAAATTCAAAACACCTCCAGATCGAAGGGTCTTCCTTTTCCCCTACAAAAACCTTTATTAGAATACTGATTTTTCATTAGACTAACAACCAAAGCTTTCGAAAGGTGATGTCGCTGTGCCATGCGGTTTTGCACGACCTCGGTGGCAAGTGCGTTTGCGTGAGTCCGTGCCATTAGAGGAAGGAAAACCTGCTGGTGTAAACGCGGCGGGTCATGGTGGATACACAGGGCGGACAGATGTGGGCAGTTACGGTTGTTTTTGGAACCTAATACAAGAAACCACCCCCCAAAATCGACCATGTTGCTAGTTGAGTAGCGGCTTGAAGGACGGTAATGTAAAAACAAATATTAACCGAATTTAGGGTTTCGGACGTGGTGTTTTTAATTGGGGCTGCATTTTTATAGGTACTCGGGATTATATAAAATATTGCACTGTAATTTGTGTTGGGTTTGTTGCTTGAACATCGCAAACCTTGATTCAAAACGGACCAAAAATGACCCAAATTTTGCCTCCAAAAGCAGCTCAAAGTAGGTTATGAGGCCAAGGCTAAATTTTATTAACTGCGCCGCTATGCAACGAAATTTGACCGACAGACGCGGTCCAGAGGCCCAACAATGTGAATTTCTATTGGTATTACAGTATTTCTGGCTTTGTGATGCGGTTGGTGATGCAGAAGACGTGGGTCGCGGCGGGAAGTATGCCCCGGTATGGCAAGCTAGCTTGGATATGCTATCATATATGGCATCGCCGGATTCAACGGGTCGGCGGCCAAGGCGTAGCATGTCTTCCGTGTTGAGTTGGGATGAGGTGGGTAATTATGGCACACTGTTCACGAGTGAACTTTACGGGGTGGTGAGTGAGATTGGAGCTTCTTCCGTGCCTTTGGAACTGTCCAGGGTGACTCTCCCTTCTTTTTCTCAAGTTGCGGCGGCCAGTTTCCTAAGCGGCCAAGTTTTTCTACGTCTCATGTCGTGGAGCCAGAGGAAGTGAACACTATACAACGGTGGCACCAAATATTGCAAATAAGTGGGATGGAGACAGAGAGAGAGAGAGAGAGAGAAAGAAAAGGAAAGGAAAGATGAAAGGTGGTTGGAGCTTGGAAATTAAATTCATTGCAAACAGTTTCACGCCGGCCCCACGATTTTCAGAGCCAGGTTCAACGTGGTTGATATGCTAAGTCAATTTATTTGTATGTGTGGGAGGGCATTTAGAAACCTTGTGTTGAAAAACGAGGGTCTGTCAAGTTTTGTGTCGAGCTTGTTGAGCAGCTGTGTGTTGTTGTGTGGTGCAAGTCACTGAAAGAACATGCTGGTCGGGAACACCCCCCCGGTTGCGATCCTTCTAATCAAATATTCTTAGAATATCTTCACAAGGTAGTCCCCATTGGTGAGCCCATGCATGCTTTCTCATGTCAGACATGCATCGCAGTGTTCTTAACACCTCCATTCTTCAATGCGAGGCAGTCTAGTCTTGGCTGACCGCTCCTGATTCTTCACCACCTGTTAGCTCTCTGCGTTATTTAGATCAAGCCGATGATGGGTTCCCAGCAGAAGCCAGGTCGCCGGAGACTTTGATGCGAAGTGCTACTTGGCGGAATTGGCTTCGGGGTTGTGTGCATGGTCGTGGGTCACCAGCCTGCGAATCAAAATCCACAAATCCATGCCAGCGACACTGTATCAGCATACAGATGCTGTTATGTTGGCCACTGCATGAGAGAGGGGCATTGCGCGAAAATAACATGAACCACCAGGTAAGCGGCATAACTTATGACATTTTATGACCTTAAGCGACTCTAGCATACAACGCGCTTGGACCATTCTCAAGGATCCCACGACTTCTGAAACTTGTCAGAGCAAGATTCTCTCTGAGGGCTGTCAAGAAGACCAGACAGAAAGCGAGAGAGAGAGAGAGAGTTCCATCACAAGCACCCGATCCCAAGTCCAAATGAGCGCCGGACCCCTCTCATCGCCTGCCATGGCCACCTGAGGCAAAGAATACTTCGAACAGTCATTGGATCGGAGCACCTTCGACTTCCAGGAGGGTCCGCTGTGGAAACTACGCCTTCTACGCCGGCCGGCTTACGGGTGGAGTGATTTTCATGTGAGTTTCATGTTTGCGGTTCAAGCGACTCACTGACATGTGGTCAATGACTTTTTGCTCAAAACTACTATAGCTACTGCAAGTAGAAAGTCTCTAGTCTTCAAGTGTACTTGCAAGCCTCTGCATTTGACAGATGCTCTGTGCCGTCTAGGCCAAGCTCTGGGACGTGAAAAACATAGACAAAAACACGCACACGCACACATACAGACACACACACACCAAAAAAACACAGAAAAGAAACAAGTAGTGCAATAAAAACATAGTAAACATGACTTCTTATGTTCAGCCTCTCGCCTCACCTGAGGCCAAGGTGGCTTTCGGGGCCCCTTGGGCGGCCGCAGCGCCTTGTTGTTCAGCTTTGTGCACTCGATCGACGACCAGAAGAGCGCGAACATCCTTTTGCCGCTCGCAAAAATCAGTGGTGAGGGCAGGCATTGGAAGTCACCGGAGATACGTGTTGGACCTTTCAGCAAGGCTGAAGGTGAAAGAAGAGCTGCTGAAATAGGATATAATGTTGACATCGTATTAACCAACCCCCCCCCTATTAGTCTACCCAGGGTTCAGGCCCCAATAATAAACTAATTTGAACTACTAATTTCCACAGTCACCACCCTCTAATAAAAATTTTGCTTGGCTGAAACCCCCCCCTATTAGTCTACCCCCTGTCCCTCCAGGAAAAACTCAAATATATATATGTGTTTAATTAGTTTTGTTCTTTTTCCCTTTTCAATATTTTCTTGTCTTGCCATGGTGAAACTGATCTTCTGATTGATTACCAATGCTCTCCCAAAGCAACAGTTTTCCTAGAATTTCCAAAAACTCTCTAGGAAAATTCTTTCATTTTCCCTTATTAAAACTCTATCAAAATCTGCAATTTGAGAAGCTCAGAAAGGGTACCCCCCATACACCCCCTACCCCCCTCTAATAGTGGGGTACCCCCCCCTATTAGTCAACCCCATCCATGATGAGCTCTCATGGACCTCATGATGAAAGGGAATTAGTATTTGGGCTTTCATGGATCTCATCATTCCATTCCAGCTCTTCCAAATACTAATTCCCTGGGTCCCAACCCTTCCAAATACTAATTCCCTTTCATTCCAATTCTTCCAAATACTGAATCCCTTTCATTCCAAGTCTTCCAAATACTAATTCCCTTTCATTCCAATTCTTCCAAATACTAATTCCCTTTCATTCCAATTCTTCCAAATACTAATTCCCTTTCATCAGGTCATCCCCACTATTAGGGGGATGTGATCTCCAAAACCTCGAATCTCAAACCTTGTTGACCTTGTTGACCTTCTACGGGGGTGGGGGGGGGGCCCCGTTGATTAATACGACGTTGACATTACCATGCACTCTGGGAAAAGGCCGTGGCTTTGATCATTGCGGCAGTGCTCAGATCAGGGAGTGGATAGGAGCAATATCCTGAGCAACACGGCAACTAAAAAACACAACAACGGAGTGCGGGCGAATGAATCTCAGGCAAGCTCTCAAGGCTGATCAAATTTGCATCTCGCGGAGTTTGGGTTCGTTTGGGTCGCAAGTTCATGCAACCAGTGGCCACTCAAAGCAGAAAATGGGCAGTAGAAGGCACATACAGTAGATAGGGGCACTGCCAGTCAATCTCCACAAGTTGATTCACCAGATCTATATAGATGCACTACACAAGATCAGAATCTTCCTTGCACATCCGGGCGCGAATCTTTTGTCCACGAGCAAGTTGTAGCTTGACCTTGAAGGCCAGGCTTCAGCCTGAAAGTGTGCCTTGCTGCCATGCTGGCAGCGGCGCGAGAGGTGGAGATGGAACAAGGGGACTTCATGAATGGATTCAACTTGTACAACACAGATGAGGAAACCCAACCTGTCGCTGCTCCTGCAAAACCTCACAAAGTGCTACGCCTTTGCCTCCTGTTTCTCTTGATTGTTGTCGTGCTCTTTATTTGTGGCATTTGGGTATTCGACATCTTTCTTAGAGATTCTTGGGCGGCCCCAAAGGCCCAGCTGAAGTCTAAGACTGTACACTTGGAGAAAGGTGTGGGCAGGTTGAAAGGATTGAACGGCGGACTGTCAAGCGTGCTGCAGCCGTCCAATGTTTGTCAAAACCGCTTTAAGACGTACTTTGAAAGGTGCATTGGAGAAAAAGCTGCATGCGATGTACCTGCCTGCTTTGCAGACGACGTGGACATGGGGGTGAGTTTGTCTGCTGATTCAGCTACATTTGAGTTGGGGAATGTCCCCGTACCTTCTCCGTGGGAGAGAACATGTATTTCGGTGCCTTCTCTTGCTGATTCTGCCGATCTAATTGCTAAGAATGGTGCACGGGTCCAATGTGGAACTGATTTAGCACAGGTCCGTGCAGCAACCGACTATCAACCTGAAATCGTTGATTCCTTTGAATGGCTCAGCACGACCAATGAGACTATCCACTTGGAGCTGTGGGGGGGAGGAGGTGGAGGCGCTGGCTCCATAGATCCTGGGCTGCAGTCTGAATAATGTCGTTTTGTGTTTGCCGGGGGCGGGGCGGTGGGAGGTACTGGGGTGCTCTAGAATCAAAGCAGGACCCCCCGGAACACATTGCAGTTGATCTTCAATGATGGTTTGGCAACAGTCAACAGCTTGCATCAAGTGAACGTGGAAGTTGGTGGAGCTATTCAAAACTAACAAAGTGTCCAAAACGAAAGAAGAAAAGAATGCAGCTAGCGTAGTCCTTGAAGTCTACAAGACGGAGACCTCATTGAATCAAGGTATGGAGGTTTGAACAGACATGAATGGACCCGGTGAATGTTGTGACAGGGTTTTGGTTTTGCGAGCGCGTTCACGTGCAACTTGTTAAAAAGTCATACAGTCTGATGAAGAGTTGAACAGTGTTGAGATGCTTTAGATCCGACTGTTGCCATCGGGTTCAGGCGCCTTGAGTCATCGTGGGTGCGCATTCATGAAAAGAGCCATGCCGTTTGCTTTGTAGCATTCCGGAAGATTCCCCGAACTCCTGCCTTTTACAGTGGTAGGCGGAGCAGGTTGGATTCTGCTAGGACGACGACAGCACCTTGGATGAAAGGTTTCGACCCCTGGGCTAGGTGGACACCCTCAGCTGATGCTTCCATAAGGAATCCTGGCTACAGCGTGCCCACCGGCCAGGCTGCGAGGGTCACTTCGACATGGCCACCAACTACATGGCCTACGAGATCCTACGAGCTTTGCAGCGGCTGGAACGTCACAGACGATGCCGCAGATGCAACCTGCAGCGGCTGGAACGTCGCAGACGATGCCGCAGATGCAGCAGCAGCCACAGAGTTCACCCGGAGGTGCACCACAGCATGCACCACAGTTTTCCGCTGCGGCCTTTGCAAGTGCCTTAGGTAGCCAAGGTGCCCAGCCCAATGACGCTTCGACGACTTCGCCGACGAGCGCTTTTTCCATGTTGGGTAACACAGCCCCAACGAATGCAGCTGTGCCTACGAGTGCACAGACCCCTGAGCAGTTGATCGCAAGTGCCTTGAATCAGGCCCTAGCTGGAGAGCGCAAGACGCTGCCTTCATGGAATGGTTCACCATCGACTTTGAGATCATGGCTGAAGCTCCTTGCACTATGGGAGTATGAATCAAACGTCCCGGTTGAGAAGAGAGGCATTAAGTTGCTACAGTCCTTTCCTGAAGGTTCCCAGCCAAGGAGAATCGCTGACACGATTCCAACTGAGGTGCTACTCTCAGCCAATGGCTATGGAGCGATCTTAGGTGCCCTTCACCAGAAGTACGCTCCTTTCTTGGAAGCCACTGCACCTCAGGCGATCGACAAGTTCTTGTTCGATGGAGAGAGACAGAAAGGTGAAAGCTTCACCTCCTACATCGCGGCCAAGACACTGGCCAAGCAAGAGATGGAACTGCAGCTTGGGGAGGTCATCAATGACCGACTATGTGGCCGGATCCTCTTGAAGCATGCCAACTTGAACGACCTACAGAGAGAGATGCTCCTGTTGAGAGGCCCCATGCTTCGTCCATTTGATGAGATCGCCAACCTTCTGCGACCTCTTGACCGACCAGAGATGTTGGCCCGAGCTCAAGAGCCATCCAGTTCAAGGAACTACATGATCACGTCCGACTACTATCAGGACTACTACCCGGACAACCCTGAGAACGAGGAGGACAATGAGACAGAAGGTGATCCAATGGAACTTGAGAATTGGCCACACGAAGATGGCGATGAATCCGCCTCTTGTGATGAGAATGGGAATTGCCTGTTCTACATGGAGGATCGTGAGTACCAGGAGACGGAGGCCATTGAGCTCAAGGCTTACCACTTGGCCTACCGTGATGCCCGACGTGAGTTGCAGAAGCGCAAGACAGAAAGAGGCTATGTGAAACATGGTCGAGATCCTGGTCGTTCCAAAGGAGGCAAGAAAGGAGTCCGTCGACCTTTTGTCAAGGGTCGAGGCAAAGGAAAGTCCAAAAGGAAACAGTCATCCAGTCGCTCATGGAAAGGGAATGAAGAAGACTTGGAGAGCAGGACACGCTGCTGGAATTGCAATGAGCTTGGACACTTCGCCAAGAATTGCCCTTTGTCTCAACGAGCTGATGCCAGCAGCAGTCCTCCAAGACAGCAGTTTGTTGTTCACACTGGAGGACAAACAGCCCCTGGAGTACCTGCAATGCAGTTCATGATGGTCTGGCTGCCGACACCCTGGCATCGTTACAAGATTACGATGCAAAGATCCGTGGTCATTTACCAGGTGCATGTATGGGTTCTTCTTCAAGCAGTCCGCCACGCCGGCTGACGATCTTCGCTGGTGTTCAGTGTTGACACCGCCGCTGAAGAGGCTGTGATCGGCGCGACGGCGCTACAAGAGTTGGAGAAGAGCCTGAGACAGAGGAACTTGAAGTGCATTCCTGTGCAGGGAAACTCGCCACTTCCTTCAGCTGGAGGAGTTGGCGGTGAGGCCAAGGTTGTGAAGCAGCTGGAAGTGCCTGTTGGAGTCGCTCAGGTGAACGCGGTCTTGCGGTTCACCGTGTTGCAAGATGATGACCAGTTCCAGACTCCGCCACTTCTTCCAGTCAGCTTCTTGGAACACATTGAGGCCACGATCGACTTGAAGAACAACTTGTTGACTACAGGTCAAGGTCAAACAGCTAGCATGAGACGACTTGGAACTGCACACAGAGCAGTCAGCTTGACCAACTTCAGTCCGAGTGGTTGGAATTTGCCGGTCTCACATCGGCGAGATCCTGACGTAGATCCCTTTGTCCTTCAGCCAGAACGACCCCTTCACTTCCATGTTGCTCAGTACGATCCGAACACAGTGACTGTTTGGCTACTTCACCAAGATCAACTTCATTTCTTGCAGAGCTTCCCAGGTTCTCGCTATGACATGATCTTTCCTCAAGATTGCGTTGGCCTTCAAGACACA